ATACACAGTCCTAACGGACCTTTCTACGGTACGGTTTTTTTTAGCTCATCTGACTCACGACATGAACCAACCAGTTAGGGAAAATTCGGCGTCTACACAACTATAGAAAGAGCGCCTTATAAAGTGACATGCCTTTAATGAGCAAAGATATAGCTCGGCAATTAAAGTTGCGAAAATTTACAGAGGCAGGAGCCCATCAAATAGAGGTTTGTATGGTCAGGCAGGGGGTTCAAGTTTTTGCCCCCACCATTCAAACGACTTTCTCAGGGAGGTATATCATATCTTCCTTAGGTTGCAACAAATCACTCTCGCGGAGTCGACGGATTTTCCCTCACTTGTCCATGTCAAAAGTTGAAGAAAAAAAAAAGAACAGTGGAAAGGCCTATTACAAGGAAAATGTTAAAATTGAGAAAATTGAAGCTATGTAAATAGGGTTGAATAAATTGACCGTGTGTAAGCTCACTACCTTTGGAGATCTGTCTTACGTAAAAATGAAGCAGAAAACATTTTTAGGTGATAATTCACCTTCCTCAACTTAATTGATGTTTGATCAAAATATTGTACTTTATTGATAACATGGTTTTCAGGATTTTCAAACTATCAAAACTTGATTTGCATGGCTTAATAATTTCTATTTGGTTTTTTGTTGTTGTTTTTTTTTTTTTGCTTTTTTTGTATAGAGTGTTTTCACTCAATGGGCCAGCATCTATGCAAATTTATTGGAACAAAAGAAAGCGTTTGCATAAGAAAGGAGTTCAACTCCCACAGGACTGGTTTGTGACACCAACATGGCCGTCGTTTCATTGTTTCGGGACACCAATATCTCTATACATGACAGTGTTAGTTTAATAAGGTGTATATCTGATAACTGCATACTTTTAAGGTTTTGAATCATGGCCCTTACGCGTTGACATTCGTGTGCTTTCTAGCCCTAGTCAATTTACTTTTTACATTTTTGTTTTTGAAATAATAAGTTTCTTTACCCCTTGCAACTTCCACTTTCTTCAAAGAAATTTTACAATAAGCTCTGAAAAGTAAAAGTATTCCTCAATTTGATTTGTGTCTTACTATAACGTCAATCAGTTTATATCTCCATACCTCCCACGACTGTTCTCTCTCCTGCCACCTGAAAGAGAATTTACAGACGAAAAATGGTGAATATGCTTTTACAGAATAATCGTGGGTTTTCAGTTGGTATATCACGAGGCACCTTGGCCTAAGTTACTCTATTCAATTTGAATTATTATAGACCGTGAACAGCTGCGGCATTCATTCTCATTCATTCATTCTCCTCGACACTAGCCTGTGTACAGACGTCCCCCTCCCTCTGAGGGAGGGGGGGATGTCTGTACACAGGCTACCTCGACACGTTCCTCTTCTCTTCAACTTCTTCATAGCCTGTTTAAAGCCGTATTAAAGGCGTAAGGGTAGGAAAGTCCCTTGGGAACGAGACTGAAGTATCTTTCTATCCCGTGTCTCAGATTATAACGTTTCGCTTGACCGCGGACTATATAAGCAATTCAAAAAAAAGACGGGAACTGATGGTAGTCGATCCAATTTGCATTAAATTTTTTCCGCTTATGTAATCTCGTCGAGTGTTTCAAGTCATGATTTCAAGGTTCTAAGAAGGTTTTCGGATAGTGTGGGTCGGTGAACGCCTTAACAGGGCCAGGGTTATTCTTCAGTGTTAGAGCTGAACAGTCATCATCGCCATGAGAGAGTGCTTTTAATTTGCACGTCTCATCCGACAAATAAACTGTACATTCTAACAGAGATTTCACACAAAAATTTTTTGTACTCACCTTGAAGGAGTATTTCATAAATTGTTCATCATTCCATTTACAAGAAGATTTCGCGTGCTCTGCCCACAGTTTGTAAAGATCCTTGTGTGGCATTCCACCGTGCTCTACGCTTGTTTCAAAAAAATATAGCAACGGCATTGTGAAGTCTCGTGTTTGTAAAATACTAAGGCAAGTCCGAAAACCTCTTTTGCTGAGAATTGCGACTTTACTCAAGTAAGTAAATAGTGTTTCTCGTCTTCAATGTAAGATTCGTAGACAAGTTAAGCGGGTTCCGATCCACTCTACCGCATTAGTTTTATTTTCGGCTTCGTTCTTTAATAATACCGCACCTATGAAAGCTTTTATGAAGGTGTCTTAATCGCTTATTGATATTGGTCTGTAGTTTCTCACCCAATAGTATTCACAGAAAGTAAAAAAAATTAATGAACTCTAGTTCTGATGGACCCAGTCTCGACTTTTCTTGACCGTGAGTACTTAATTCTCACTCATGTTAAGATTTTACGTGCAAAGCCAGTGTTTTTTCAGGTTTTTTCTTTAGCCGACCTATAGCTAACCCCGCATGTATTATTTTTTCGCTCGACTTTATAGATCGCGTGTACTGAGTTAAATGTGGCACCAATAAAAAATTATCATGAATTAGACTCCATGTTGCCATGCGTTTGTTCACGTGCAATAAATCACAGATGACGTCAAAATGTGGTAAAAAAGTGGTACACGTGCCGCAGGCAATTGGGCACTGATGTTTTACCACACGATATTGACGTCTTCGGATCTTTGATTACTGAACAGACGCACGACAACATAAAATATATCATTTTATACAATGAACAGAAAAGAAAAAAAAATTGCGTCGTACTGCTTGACTATTAAGGGATTTGTTCTACTTTGGGCATTTTCCAAGTCACCAGCGCTAAAGTTTGTTTCACCTTCTTCTTCTGTATCAGTTTACCCTACTTCTCAGCAGTTTCTCCCAAACGCCTTCTAAGGCCGATCACTTGGCACTCAAAGCTTTAAAACACAAACATTTTCAAAACCAAGTGTCTGTCGTAGCGATGACACCCGATGACGACTGTTTTGAAGATTTTTTCAGGCTAGGCATTTTCAAGTCGCAAAGAACACTTTTCGTCTCGGTTTTCCGTTTTTCTTTCTTTTAAACAGTCTAAACAACGCGTGCTTATGTTTTATCGAGGCCTTCACTTGCTTAATCCAAAATTATCACCAACACACACTTTCACACTTTTTGACCGTGGCGCGACAAAACAAAGAAGACAAGTTACGAGTGACGTCATCTCATCCCAAGAACCATGGCTAGTTTCTTAAAGACACGTTAATAATGTTTCATTCATTCATTCATTCATTCATTCATTCAGTCAGTCAGTCAGTCAGTCAGTCAGTCAGTCAGTCATTCATTCAGTCAGTCAGTCAGTCATTCAGTCAGTCAGTCAGTCAGTCAGTCAGTCATTCATTCATTCATACAGTCATTCATTCATTCATTCATTCATTCATTCATTCATTCATTCATTCATTCATTCATTCATTCATTCATTCATTCATTCATTCATTCATTCATTCAGTTAGCGGAAATCAAGTCGTGAAATAAGCCATGACGCGAAAAATGCACCCTACACGTGTAATATACCCATGTCCTATTCCACGAATAGACGGAAATAAGGACGTCCAGTGAATTCTTTTCGTGTTTTCAGTGGACACTGAATCTTCGCATTATCCATCAAACTCATTGAAGAATACTGACCAGATCTCGTCACAGTCGATGAAGTCATTCTTTTAATTTAAATCAGAAGTTAATTTATCACGAATTGAATACAGAGTATTTCAAGTATTCATTACTCCGCGAGCTTTTTCAGGTCTTCGACCCATTCCCCTATCGGCCTTATTGATTTGCATTCAATATGAACTCTGTTTCCCATCTTTTTCATGATTGGCAGGTCAAGAGACATTCTATCGGCCTCTGCTGGATTCTCCACACAAACAACTGCGATAACCTGTTGGCACAATACAAAAAAAAATTGTTCTGAAAATTGAAAAGGAATAACAACAATTAAGCCTGGAAAAGAACAGAACTTGCCATATTCTAAACGAGTTAAAAATTTGGTACGGTTATTTGTGACGGCAAAGATCTGGCATGGGATCATTTATGACTGAAGGGAAAACTTGAAGGTCAACAAACATGGCGCTCTGCAATGACTTGCAATTGCTGTGTTTCAAACTGCAATAACAGTTTCAGAAATGCTACTAATCTCAACTATTTAGAATTCCTAGGGGCCCTGATGCACCAGGTATGCGTTCTTCAGTCGGCCGACGTAGAGAGCGTTATTAACAGGTTGCTTACTGCTGTCCGTAAGTGAAGTCGAGACTCTCGTGGGAGACCACCCAGATTGTCACTAAACCCTCCCCCCCCGGAATGAACGATGGAGTCTCACAGGTGTGCCAAGGCAGACATGCACAAATAAATTAATAAATAACGATTTGCAGGTAGCATATCCATATAGTGGTTCTTCGTCTACCTGATTCCTGGTCGAATTGGAATTTGGAAATGCTGGTTTTTGAGGAGAGGGGAAAACCGGAGTACCCGGAGAAAAACCTCTCGGAGCAAGGGAGGGAACCAACAACAAACTCAACCCACATATGGTGTCGACGCCGGGATTTGAACCCGGGCCACATTGGTGGGAGGCGAGTGCTTTCACCACTGCACCACACTTGCTACCAACAACCGTCTAAGATAGAAAGGACATCTGTTGCTGGCCTTAGCAGTTACTGACTAACAGATGTTACCTTTCTTTGCGCCACCACTTTCCATAAGTCCAGAATGGTGCCTGTTTTTTTCGCGTCCAAGGCTGCTTTGCCCTCTTCGGCCCAGATTTGGAGAAAATCGTGTTGCGTCATGGCTGCCGATGAACGTTAGAAAAACACTGAAATTAGTTTACCTCGAACTGACTTTAATAAGCTTTCGTTTTAAGAAATAGCGGAAAGCTGGGAAACACATCGCTCAAGCGGAAAAATCATAATATTATAGCCGATCGTCCACTGTGGTGTTGCGCTGGAAACTACCGGTGGGCCCGGTCCAGGCCCCTAGAATTAATTCAAATCATACCTGAATCATAGTCTACTGTACAGGTGAAAAGATAGAAGAGACCTTGCTTCAACACCCCTTTTCCTTCCTACCACGGTGGGCCCTGTCCCTAATGCAATCCCCCTAGGATTAATTCAAATCATACCTGAATCATACTCTACTGTAAAGGTGAAAAGATCATGAAGAGACCTTGCTTCAACACCCCTTTTCCTTGCGACCCCGGTGGACCCGGTCCCTAATGCAACCCCCCTAGGATTAATTCAAATCATACCTGAATCATACTCTACTGTACAGGTGAAAAGATAGAAGAGACCTTGCTTCAACACCCCTTTTCCTTCCAACCCCGGTGGGCCCTGTCCCTAATGCAATCCGCCTAGGATTGATTTAAATCATACCTGAATCATACTCTACTGTACAGGTGAAAAGATCATGAAAAGACCTTGCTTCAACACCCCTTTTCCTTCCAACCCCGGTGGGCCGGGTCCCTAATGCAACCCCCCTAGGATTAATTCAAATCATACCTGAATCATACTCTACTGTACAGGTGAAAAGATAGAAAAGACCTTGCTTCAACACCCCTTTTCCTTCCGACCCGGTGGGCCGGGTCCCTAATACAACCCCCCTAGGATTAATTCAAATCATACCTGAATCATACTCTACTGTACAGGTGAAAAGATAGAAAAGAAAAGACCTTGCTTTAATTCAAATCACCCATACTCTTTTCCTTCCAACCCCGGTGGGCCCGGTCCCTAATGCAATCCCCCTAGGATTAATTCAAATCATACCTGAATCATAGTCTACTGTACAGGTGAAAAGATAGAAGAGACCTTGCTTCAACACCCCTTTTCCTTCCAACCCCGGTGGGCCCTGTCCCTAATGCAATCCGCCTAGGATTGATTTAAATCATACCTGAATCATACTCTACTGTACAGGTGAAAAGATCATGAAATGGGCCGGGTCCCTAATGCAACCCCCTAGGATTAATTCAAATCATACCTGAATCATACTCTACTGTACAGGTGAAAAGATAGAAAAGACCTTGCTTCAACACCCCCCTTTTCCTTCCAACCCCGGGGGCCTAATCCCTCATACCTGAATCATACTCTACTGTACAGGTGAAAAGATAGAAAGAGACCTTGCTTCAACACCCCTTTTCCTTCCAACCCCGGTGGGCCGGGTCCCTAATGCAACCCCCCTAGGATTAATTCAAATCATACCTGAATCATACTCTACTGTACAGGTGAAAAGATAGAAAAGACCTTGCTTCAACACCCCTTTTCCTTCCGACCCGGTGGGCCGGGTCCCTAATACAACCCCCCTAGGATTAATTCAAATCATACCTGAATCATACTCTACTGTACAGGTGAAAAGATAGAAAAGACCTTGCTTCAACACCCCTTTTCCTTCCAACCCCGGTGGGCCTGGTCCCTAATGCAATCCCCCTAGGATTAATTCAAATCATACCTGAATCATACTCTACTGTAAAGGTGAAAAGATAGAAGAGACCTTGCTTCGACGCCCCTTTCCCTTCCTCGTACTTTGAATTGCCACCAGCCCTCTCGCTGACATCAGAGGCGAATCCTTCATACTGTCTCAGGGGAGTGAACCGTGTATGGATCTGATCTCCAAGGGTCTGGTGTAAAGGCAATTCAGCAAAGCACGTGTCCAGTACTCCAGGGGACTCCACCGACATCACTGTTAAGATAAAAACGGGCGCGAGCTCGAATTCATTACTGGCAAGGAAATAGACAAAGTTATTTGATCGTCGCTTATCCGGCGGTTATTGTTGGAATCATAGGCTGGTCTGAGGCTTCACCTTTACACCCGTGCGGGACTATGAGACTATGCTAATCTAGGGGGAAGAAAGAAATCTCGTTGCACGGCCTGTAATAAGATAATTACCGGCGCCTGCCATGCAGGCTAGACTATTTCTTCCTTAGTTTTCAACAAATCACTTTCAAACTTAGCAACGTTACTGATTTTAAAGCGTTCACTTCTTTCACGTCGTGTTGACAGATTTTCGCTCACTCAAGTTTCCAGTCAAAAGATGAAAAAAAAAAAAAAAAAAAAACCGTAGAAGGGTTTATTCCCGCTGTGATTGGGGGTCCGAAATCATGGCTTATTTAACGGGAGCCGGGAGAAGGTGTATCTCACCCTAGGCCTTTGAAAGCATTCAGCTTCTGTATTTGGAACTAATGGTTTCTATCGGAGAGAATCATACAACAGAGGGGGAAACGCCTAGTCAGCCTGAACTCTTGGGACATATGAATTTCACCAAAGTTACTTTTGGACCAATTAAAGTTTGAAATTGTTCTCTTGGTGTGTCACTATTACAATATTCCGCATTATTTGCTTTGAGACAATCAATTGAAGGGTGCGGAAGTCCAGGAATCACACTTCGTTTAATTACAACCTCAGTGAAATTCACATATCTCGGCCAACGCCCAAAGACTCCCTCCGTATCCTATAATTCTGTCTTGTTTCCATTCAGTGTCCCGCATTCACTCAATGTATTTTTTGCTGGCCAGGTCTTCTATAGATCCTACGTTTTATAGCATATTCGTTTGCGGTCCTTTGCAGTTTAAATGTCAATTTATCACTGAAAATATCATCAGTTTTTGCTGCATCTCCTTTTGGGCATTATTTTACCAGACCGTTATTGATATGTTCTAATAAAATTATCCAACCACTGATGAAGTTGTGTAAAAGTTTCATAATTTGATTCGTCTTTTAAACATAGTCCGCATCTCCTAACCTCCTATGACAGTTCTCTCTCCAGCAACCTAAAAAAAAAAAGTTAAACAACAGTAAGGAAAATAAAATTATTAAATGCGTCACTCCCACACTCGGGTACCGTATTTGTCTTAGGTTTCTTTAGGATCCTGGTTTCTTAAATTTAATAGCAAGCGCCTCTAATCTTTCACGAATGATTCAATTAAAATTTCAAGGAAATACTTGAATAAAACGAAAAAGATTACTGTTTCTGATAATGCGAGACAACGCCCTTGTACGGACTGTTTAGAATTTAACTGAACTGATTAAAAACGTTCATTAACTTGGCGTAAAAATGGAACCTGGTCACAGTTAGTAGTAAAAATAAATAAGTAAATAAAATTTTTTTTCTAGCCACAATTTGTCATGTAGAGAGTGTCAATTTAGCCTGCCACGCAGACGTTGTTAGGGGTTCGTTAACTGAGTAGTTTGTTCTAAAACTGTAAGGTCTTCACCTTTCATGAGACCTTTCTGATCTTTTCTGGAGCTAAGTCAAGCAAGGAATTTATCAAGGTTTAAAGTGCACTTCCCTGCTGTGATTGGTCCACTTTTTCTTTTTCGCTCAATTTAGCAGACATTAGTGGGGTAGAAATGCGTGACGAACCCCAAAGATCACGTCTGCGTGGAAAGCTGATGTCAATTTTGCTTTAGCTTGTTAAAAGGCTTTCCTTGTCTTGTTTGTTTGCGATGGAGCCTATTTCAGCCTTTTTCTCAACCTTTGGAGGGGTCGTTAAAGGCTCCAATCGATATATCAAATTAATTTTTCTTCTTTCAATAATTGTTAAGCGATACTGAGAGAAATTAAGTTGGGCACATTAAAAAGCTAAAACATGACGCCTCCATCCCTTCAAGGCCCTCTTATAATTCTAGTTAAGCGCGAAAAACAGTCAGTCTGATGGTGTTGCTGCCGCGTTGGCAGTGGTGTCCAAACAGATGTAACAACTCCCAGCAACACCCAAGAAAATGCAACAGGGTGTGCGTAAACGGACGCAACATGTAACATCTAACTGACAATGTAACGTCCGTTTGCACGGGGCTTGGTATAGATGATGCTAGATGCACATAAAATAGAAAACGACTGCGTCGTAAAGGTCAGTTTTTTTATTTTTCAAATTGTGTCGTTTCAGAATCAGGTTCACACCTTGAAGTACTAAGTCAGTTCAGTATCAAACAGTTTGTATGCAACAGACGATCTCTAACAGATTAATTTTGCAGTTCATATTTTCAATCATTCTTCACTTAGGCTTAGAGCAATTATAAAGCGTAATTATAGCAGGAAACAAATATCTATTTCGGTAACTCTTTGTAAAGCGTTTAACGTTTAAGCACATTTAGCCACTTCCGACAATATTGCCCATCACTGACACTACACTGCACACAAAAGAACCTGAATAAATCCCTCACAATCGCACTAGCCAACAATACTTTTATGAAACTTCCATTATATTATATCCTGTAAAATTTTATTTGAATGGCCTTTGACATCGTACTGATTATAGGATTTTGTCTGAAGATTCAAAAGTTAGCTGCTTGTAATAACACCATATGAAAGAATCAGATCTTTCATTTGAACGAAAAGCATACCCGATTAAATTCAGACATAAATTAAAATGCATTTTTGCCGGACTTTTCGATGATTCGGCCAGGTGTATGACAGCTATTAGTAAAAGTAACAGACAATGAAGGACAGCTGGCATTATTTTAAATAACTATCCAACAGACACTCTTGTCTAAAGACTCGTTAATCATAAAATTATGGTAGTCAGATTTAGTCTTAATTGTGTTGGTTTACCCAAAGATCCGATCTCTTTAATTTTAAGAGACCCAAATCTTCCATTTTCAAATATTTCCATTAACGTCAGTAAAGTCCTGGATCTCGGATGAACGGGTTTATCAGTCATGGATTATTGATCAGAATAGAAGGTCACAATTTCGAAAAGTTTCTGAAAACCTTCTTTTAGTCATCCAATTTACTTATCAATATCATTTCATTAATATAATGGGCTTTGTCAGAGACGAAGAATTTAGAAAATTTTTTTATAGCGACCTTGATCATAAGCAGTTAAAAATACACAAACCACACGGTAGAAATTATAAGTCATCAGAATAGATAAATTTACTGATCTAACAGATCGAAAACCATATTAGATACTAATTTTACTTTTTTCCCCATTTTCACTGGGAAATAAATACGCATATTTTGAGTTATCACCAGACCACTCAAAAAATATAAATATTTAAAACGCACAACCGAATTATATCCGTCGCGAGTTTAGAATATTTGCACGCATGGTTTTTAAAAGGGCTTTCGGCCTTGTCAACCATTTAGAAAGTACATTGTCTGCGCTGATCCATGACTTAATTCTAGATACAGCTGTGTTGCTCTGGTCATCAGCACAAAAAAATAATAATACGCTTTGTACAAACAAGACAACTGCAGGGCACGATATTTATCTTTTAAGGCGAGTTAGGGTTAACAGTGGAAGGCTACTGTGACAGTGAGATCTCTCACTGAAGCATTTGACACTTACCTTGAAGGCATATTTCATCAATCCTTGTTCGTGTAATTTGAAGGCAGGGCCGGCATGCTTTAACCACAGTTTGTAGAGTTCCTTGGAGGTCACTCCATGGTATTCGAGGGTAGTCTCAAAAAAATATAGCAACGACATCGTAGGGTGTTGTGGTTAAAGCCACTTATACTTATAATCCAGAAACTTCTTTGCCTCAAGTTGTGAGTAGCCGGCTGTGGAGCGACAAATAAAACTACTTGCCAAGCCCTTCTTTCAGACGCGTTCTAGACTGATAGGGGATACACCGCGCGTGTGATAAATTATCATCGAAATAAGTTCCGCTCTTAGTGCAACCAATAAGGGCCTTGAAAAAGGTGTCTTTTATTGACAAGGTGAAAGGTGCATAAAAGTAAGTAGAGGTGTAGATAATTGTGTTTTTTTCTTTAATCTCTAACGTGATTGGCTACAAGAACGCAAAGAGTGTGTTTCTTCCATACCTTTTTGTCTTGTTCCTGTCTTTCGTTTTTTTGTTGATGAAGAGTGTCGGAAGTGGAAATAATGCCTTACATACTCATGTTTTGTCAAAATTCATGGATTTCAAATCACAAGTGAGTCGGAAATGCACATACAATTGGAGGCATTGAAAGCTGTTACAAAGACTTCACAGTACATGCTGTTTTACTTTAATTAAGGACAGTATGAAATTAACAGAATGTTTGTGGTGTTTTTTGTCAAACGATATTGTGTCTACCTCTCAATGAGGGCTTGAGGAAATATACGATCTGCCATTGTTTGTGGTTCTTGAGACTAAAAACGCAAAATAATCTCTGCCCAAATATTTTGCCTGGGGTATTTGTACCTTCTTAGTGAAAATAAGACGTAATATCTTCGTCGTAATATATTTGCCCAACAACCCCCAAAACCCTGAAAGAAGAAACTTTTTATGCTAATATACAGAAAAAAAATATTGAACGATGTGTTATCTTTGCTGTTTCAATGACTAACTTGTCTCTGGGATTGCTCACTGATATTTTTTGGCGTATTTTTATCTAGGATTTCGAAGCTTTTGATATAAGATAAGATAAATTTAAGCTTCTTTTCCATACAACGTCTGTGCTTTTGACAAAAAACACCTTGGCTCAGGCGCAGTCGATTGGTACCACGTGATTATAGGGACATAATAACTTATAATAAGCAGCTTGGGCCGCCGCGCTAATGTGAACATCAACATAACTACATAAAAAAGTAGATGGCGCGGGAGACTCTCCTAGTTGTGTTTGCCTTTATCTTGTTTCGACGACGACGTACATTAAAGCTTCAAAACAATTTGGGGAATTTCAGAAGTTTTTTTTTCACGGATCATCTTTTATTTTGCGGTTTTTAAGTTTTTGTCGTGTAAGACAGGGCCATTTCCGAACTGTTTTTGAACGCAGTTCGTCAATATCCTCTTGAACTTCAACTTCTCCGTCCACCAACAAGATCCCCCCATGAAGCCGCCGTATTGAAAACTGTGCCCGAGAAAGTCTAAGTTCGATAGTTTTGAGACGCTCTGATTGGTTCTTTGTTATGTCGTTCTTTTGCAGGCTGTCCACACTTGTTTGTACCCTGCATAACCGAAACATAACGACATGAAGAAAAGATGAGTTTTTTTCCTTATGTCGTTATGTTGTTATAATGTCGTAATGTCAGCATGTTCACATAACGACATAATCACCTTCTTATGCCGTTGTGCTTATATCGTTATGTCGCAAGTGTAAACCAGGCTTAAAAAGGTGCATGCTTAATAAAAGGGTCGGAAAAAATGATCAACTTCATATATGGCGAACAACTTTCTCAGAGGTTAAAGAAACTTGAAGCCCGTGGAAGAAAGAAAAAGGGTTAATCCATACCTTTAATTGAAGTGTAATCATGCATTAGAGTCTTTAGATACCACCACCAGGCTTTCGGCGGCTCATTGTGGGATTTTACGATATTCACAGTGCCCGGTAACACAAAAGAAATTTGCAAAAGTTAAACAAAGTACTTAAATAAACGCCGACGTTCTTAAATTCGCTTTTTAAGGAGAAAAAAAATAAAAGATAGTTGCAATAACTTAATTTTTATTTCAAAACATCTTTTTGTAGGTTTCCACTTAAAGGGTAAATGAAATCCCACTCATTAAATAAAACATTAACGAAAAAGATTTAGACTTTTTAATTGCGGTGGATTATGGGTTAAGAATCTGACATGACTTACCCCGCATTAATATGAGTACCCATTACCCGGTGATAATAGGCTTACACTTATCTTATGTCAGGGGAATCAGTGTTGAAGAAAAGTTAACTCATTTTTTCGTCGTGTTTGTGCCAAACTTTTCGGTGACTAACACGTCATTCTTCGGGGTCCATACAAACATTCGCTTGTAATCTTTGTAAATCGACCTTCCCTCCGAAAGATTAGGAAAACCGCCTCAAGTCGCCGATACTCTGTGTTACACACAAATCAGTTGAATTTTGAAGAACCTCGTTGCTGCCGAATTTCGTTACTGTTTCTTTTTTTTTTAGTGACAACGTGCATTTGCGACTTTTAGCTTCTTCTTTCGATCAGTGGTTGAATGTCTACATTACAAATAAAACACTCTGATAAATAACTCAGGAAAGTAATTGTTATAACTTTTTTTTGACCTTCTATATACTTTAATTGCACTTTTTTAAGGCAAGGTCCGGCCGTTGCTTAGATCTTTCTAACGAAGCAAAGCCTTTATAAAAGTTGAAACTTTCACACAATGAACATATTCAGAGGGCCAGGTCTCTCTTCATATTCCTAAAGACAGAAAAAAAGAGCCTGGAAACGACACTGAGGCAAGTCAAAAATGGCGGCAAAACAGTCAAGTGGAGCGCCGTCAAGTGGAGCGCGGAGAAATTTGGCAAGCTCGCGAAATGATAAACACGTGCCCAAACAATTCCTTCAAGTCAGCCGTAGATATATAGAACCAAATCTTGACAGGACATTTAACATGGCCAGTTGTACACGTTTTTGATACTTTTACATGGTCACATCATTTTGATTTCATTGGCCTTGTTTGTAATTGTTGTATCTGGGAGAATGGTTCGCGCAGATATCAGACATGTTTCAAAAAACACTTCAAACCATTCTCTTTTTTCACATCTTGGTGTCATCAGAACTACTGGACTGTGGTTTAGTGCTGTTAGAAATACTACTTGAAAGCGGTTTGTTAAGAACTTGTTGGTCACTCGGATGATCACTTCTGAAGGCGCCACCTTTAAATCCACATCTTAACAGTTTTTTGTAAGTAGCACGAAACTCGGTCATACGAAAACAGTAAATCCACGGATTCATTGCTGAATTGCTAAGAGCCACTGTCCTGGCCCAGTTGTACGCGACTCCAACATTACTCTCGGCGTAGGCAGAGCGAAGGTACATTAAGGGAACCCAACATATTGTGAAGACAACCACGACAATGGCTATCGTGACTGTCACGCGGCGTTCGACCAAGTGTGACGAACCGTGTCTTGCGTGACCAGCTGTTGATGCTCGAAGGGTTTCCGTTTTTCGACTCCACACTTTAATGACGATCAAGGTATAACAAATTATTATTGTGAGATAACAGAGCGCAGCAGCAATGACTGTAAAGTAAGACGTCACTTTCTTGGCGATGGTCATGCGTAATACCCCGTAAATCACGGGTACTGACCAGGCGATTGCAACCACTATCTTGAATCTTCTCATCGTCCGAATCTTTTTACACTCGATCGGTCGAACAACAAGTAAACAGCGATCAACACTGATAAAACACAAGTGGAGTACTGAGGCAGAACAGGACATGTTACCCAAGAGACGAAACGTCTCTGACACTGGTTCGTTACATTCACGGTGTAGCTGAAGACCCCAGAAAGCTACAAGTAACGGTTGACCAATAGCTGTTACCATTAGATCTGCGACTGCCATGCTCGCCAGCCAGAAGTTTGAAATTATCTGCAAGGTTACGTTCGTATAGACCGTTGCAATTACCAAAGCGTTTCCAATCGTCCCAATAAAGATCGACAAAATATTGATTGGAATTAACGCAATGATATGCGTCACTGGCAATAGACATGAATCTGTTCCGTTTGTCGAGTTAACATTCATGACGCAGCGAGGAAAGACCCAAATGGTCCTGAGAAAGTATCAATAGACCTCAATACTACTTTAGTTTAACATGAACTTACGTAGATCAGCTCTTTACATATGAACGTGATGAGATTTCAACAGTACGCCTATGCATTACCCAACTGGATTGACAGACAGGAAAACGATATCGTTTGTCACGTGTAAGTGCTGAAACGTGAAGTAATAGTACGTGCATTGTCACTACCGCTTTCGAAACTATAGTTCCTGCTTCTGAGATGATGTAATTCAGTTCTAAAATTATTGAGCAGAGCTAGCATTCAACCTGGGTACTATTAATACCCTTTTCAGTCAGTGGAACTCCGTTAATACGGTCACCAATGGGCCAAAAAAAATTGGCCGTATTAACGGGTGGCCGTATTAACAAGGGGTTTTTCCAAGAAATGTAGGCAAGAAATGTATGGCCGTTTTGCCAAGCGGAAGGTGACAAGGTGACCGTATTACCGAGGTGGCCGTAAGGCGGGGTTTCACTGTATTGACTAATGGTACCTCTTCAAATTTCCGGCGATGAGAGCTGTTAAAATTGGGCCTGATCTTATCCCGGGGGGGGGGGGGGTACTGCCATATATGGGCTATATAGGTATGTGCCGCTGTGAAGGGTATGGTTTTCAAGCAGTTTACTCTAGGATAGGGTATATAAATCAGAGCGTTTGGGTCTAGAATAGGGTATCATTTTTCAGGAAACTGATCAGTTGGTTGAAGATTTTATCTAGACTCTGAGGTACACAGCTACTCTAGGATAGGGGGATTTGGGGAGTTTACTCTAGTATAGGGTAGCAAAATTCAGCTGAACTAGCTCTGGTAAAGGTTAAGGGTTCCAGGCTCCCAGCGGCACATCCCCACCCAGAAATTCCTGAAGTGCCCCCCCGGGGATCTTATTTGTGGGAAATCCCAGATGATCGTGGATTTTACTGTTTTCCAACCCTCCCAGATGGTCGGGAAAACCATCCCAGATTTTGCCAAGTAATGGAAACACTCTATGTCTGAATGAAGTCTGAGATGGTCAGGTACAAATCGGAAGAATCCGAAGCGTCTCTATTCCAGATTATTGCGATGTTTGATCATTCCCGACATACTGTCAAAACAAAAGTCTGTTCCGCTGATGGGGATGTCGGGGATCGATAGGTATCATTTTTGCCGAGAGAGGATAACAAGGTCCCGCTTAGCTCTGACTAGTCTCTTCCGTCCTGAAACAGAATGGAATCTAGGAAAAAAGGTTAGGGTTTCCCAACAAACGGCAAAATCTGGGGTGATCGGAAAGCAGTGACAGCCGCCTGGACTGATTCCTAAAAACGAAATTCGAAATCATATCATAGACGGGAGACATCCCCGATCGTCTGGGGTCAGGTCGGGAACAACTCGGTGAAGTCAAGAGCGTTTTTATTTTCCCGACGCGTCGACGTTCCCAGACGGAGTAGCCTTATTTTTTTTAACGAAAGTGCGAGCCAGAGGTGAACCTCTCCCAGCCAGCTTTTGAGTATTTGTAGGTCAGGCTGAAACCCTGAAAATTGCACGCATGACTAGTACACACTGACCTCACCAACACTTTAAGCAATTTAGCTCACCCCAACAACGCGTAATTTAAATTTATTACAAGCGGTAAAGTGATCAAGCCAAAAATTTGTAGGCCCGGGCCTACAGGTCTGTATGGGCTGGCTACGACCCTGACTCGCCCAAACTCTCTGACAGTTTCAATGTCCATATCGTTGGCACTGCAAAATACACTTGCTCTGCAAGCTATAGACGGAGAAAACAGCCGACCTTGATTCGCGACACTGCCGGGCGCCATCGCTCGTCATTTCGTGGGGAAACCAGTGGTGGCGTCTCGCGAATGTAGGCTTTCAGGCTCTCAGGCTATAGCCTCCCACGCAGACGTTCCTGGGGGTTCGTCACCACGCGTGACGAACCCCTGAGAACGTCTGCGTGGGAGGCTACTCAGGCTACAACGTTGCTAGTTTTCCAGGTTCTGCGACGGTCGGCGGACGGTGGCCCTCCTAACATTTGAAAACACGGGGTGATGGTTCGTTTTTCCTCTGACTCAAGATTCCATCCACAGAACTGCTTGGGAGGAAAGCGTAACGAAGTGTGTAACGTCTATGTGGAAAGCTACTTTACACTTCCTGCCGTTTGGATCAGTTAAATGAGTGTGCTAATTTTAAGATTTGGTATACATAAAGACCAACCGTTGAAACGGGAAGGATGATCGAGAGATGTCATGGGAACAGGAAACGTGGAAATGGTAATGGAAACGGGAAAGGACTGACGGAAACTGAGAATGGATGATGTCGAAGCTTTCTGGTTCCCGTGTTCGTTCTCCATTCTCCGTTCCCCGTTCTTCATTGCTCATTCTTCGCTTTAGTAACATTTCGGGCTTTTTAATAAAAGGATGATAAAAATTATTTAACTGATATTTTGTTAAGCCTTTGCCTACCTAGGACTATATATACGTCCTGTACCTGTGTGAGGTCACTCAGCGACCAAGGACCTCAGACTAGACAAGTGAAATCACCAAACAGCCAAAGGTCCGGTCGTTCGAGTTACCTTAAATATATGGACTCCGGTCGTTGAGAAAGATCTGGCGGGTTGCTGGGTGTATTTGGCTCTGGTAGGTAGGTAAGGGTGAATGCTTCCAGTACCCCTCCCTGTCCCTTGAATTGCAGAGTTCCGTTCCGGGATTCCTGCTCTTACTTGATCCAGAAGCTCTGATAATGATATGACTGGCAAATGGCATGCCGGTTCCCCACACGAGTTAAAACAAATCGTCGAGGAATCATCCGGTTTATCACATCTTTGACGATGGGGACTCAAGCAAGACCTCTGGTGGCTCGTACTCCCATAATTGAACTCCCTCCTGAACTTCAGAAAACGATTAAGGAAGCTTCAAAAGACTTTGAAGTGATAAATATCGATTTGGATCAAATCACGAAAGAAATGGCCCGCAGAGTCGAAGGATTGTTACTCTACATGCCGGTTAATTTACGAATTAATTCAAAGGTGATGGATTATTTTCCTAATCTCAAAGTTATCAGCAACTGTGGAGTTGGTATTAACCACATCGATATAGCAGCCGCTACTGAACGTGGAATTGCCGTCGGGAATACACCAGATGTTGTTACTGACTGTACCGCCGATTTGGCGTTCTCGCTTTTGTTGGCTTCTGCTCGAAACGTTGTAGAAGGAGACAGGATTGCAAGAGGTCCAGAAACAAAAGAGGTAATTTTGCTGATTAAGTCAAAGAAACGGTTGTATTGTATTTGAGAAAATGTTTTAATTTGTTTTGCATGTTTGCGCGGTCGTTTTGAGGCTACGATTTAACTCGTCAGTGATCTATGACACCCATTGTAATCGCGTGACTGCTTAATTTACGTCTGTGGTTAGAAAATAGTAGGAAATGTAACCACGAGTTTCTAGTTTTCAGAATGATTTTGATTAAAATATTTTTAGGTTTTGGTTTCATCTTAGTCTTTTTTTCTTACATTGCAAACTTAATTTGTAGAGTTCAACTGGCTGATTTATATTTAATAGGCATTCACCGCGACTTGCATTTATCACGAGATATATTCATTTGGCCTAGCCTCCCGTGTAAAAACGCGAACGCGTGACGAACCCCTGAAAAAGTCTGCGAAAGGGAAAACAAGATCTTATATTAGGAGCTCCAGGCATAATGTCGGCATAATGCTAATATTTTCTTTGAAAAGTCATATCAAAGACTGTAGCTTGGGTGATTATTTAGTCGGTGCGAGAGGGAATTAAACTTAAAGAGCATAACCCCTTCAGCCGAGCATAATTTTAAGCATAAAATCATGGTTTCATGAGTGAGGCTGAAAAGCATAAAATTCGATTTTATGAGCATAATCTGTGGGGACTGAGGAACGACAGCTTAATAAATTGACATTTCGCACAAAATCAAAGATGCTTAACCCTTTTAGGCCCTAAGAGTGATCAGCGTCAAATTTCTCCTTGTAATATCAATGCTTTGTAAAACAGATTGGTCATGAGAATTACGGACCGGATAACACAAGAAGTTGCTTGGTTTTTCTGTAGGAAATGAAAAGGGGCAACAAATGAGAATTCAAATTTTGGTCTTAGGGTTTAAAGGGTATGGTAATGCAAACTCTTTCCTGGGGTCCGCTGGACCCTGGGAAGAGTTTCTTTTATCAAAGAACTGACGAATATTTTTTTTACGATATCTTCTTATGTAACTTATAATGAATATACTAATAATCATTTCATATTTTTTGAACTGGTGGATGGACCTTATCATCTTCATCTTTCCCGGGTAAATTGCTTCAGGCTCAATTGTACAAAGCGCTCCACCGGCATCGTAGCCTGCGTAGCATGGCGGTTTTGTCGGGAGCACTACGCAAAATTCTTGGCTACTGGTATCGAAGAGTGCAGGGTTCGAATCCCGGCAAGCCTGAATTTTTTTAGGGCTTTATTTTAGCCACTGCATAAGTTGCATCTTCAACTGCGATGGTCTTCTTTCCGATTGTATCTTTAATTTATATCGGTACGTTGTTTTGTTTTAAAATAGTTTCTTCATTTGCATGGCTATTTTGGAAGTAAAGTTAGTGGATCAACCATTGGCATTGTTGGCTTGGGAAGAATTGGTAGTGCTGTGGCAAAACGAGCAAACGGCTTTGGAATGAAAGTTCTTTATCACAACAGAAACAGGCGTAAAGCAGATGAGAAAAAACTTGGTAAGATACTTTGTTCGTGTACAAGATGTTGATCCCCTTTTGAGTACGTCTCCTTCAGTCGTTCAGTCCGCTACCCTTTTTAAAGCAAGAACCTGATTCATTTCGTTTCGCATACAGAATTGTGTTGTGGAATATCCAATAAGCATGGAATTAGATTTTTTGTGGAAAAGATTGTTGGTTCCACATGCAGTCGACTCCTGAAAACTCAAACCCTCGCTAACTCGAACCTTGCGTTAACTTGAACGAAACTCGCTTTTCTTTAGATTTCCTTGAGTTCATACATTTACTGTACTTTTACCCTCGAGAACTCGAACCTCCCGCTAACTCGAAGTTATTTTTGTGTTCCTTCAGATCATTTCTATATAGTTTTACCCGGCCTCTATCGATAACTCGAAACATATTTTAAGCTCGTAAAAAATTGTGTTACTTTATTTCAAGCCAACCGTGTGTTCTTTGTCTTTTTCTTCTTCTGCCAGTCTTTTTTTTTTTTTTTTTTTTTTGTCCAGCCCTGTTGATAATATTGATCAAGCTTTGTTGCTTAATTCCTCTTTCTAAATATCGACATATCTCTTGCTGTCCCAGAAGTGTAGTGTGGATGATACTAGAACTCCTTCTCCGTCTCATTTCATTAGTTTCCTTCTTCCGGTTATTTGCTTTGAACTCCCGATAACTCGAACTTTGCCAAGATTTAGATTTTCCAAGAAGGTGGCGAGTTATGGGGAGTCGACTGTAGTAAATCGTAAACCCTGTTTTAGAGTCACGACCGGCCTGAAAACCACAAACCCATTTATTTAGGCCAAAGAAGGCAATGCCCCGCCAGATGACAACCAACCATTGAATTGAATCAATTTATTCTTCAACCGATGAGGCAGAGGAAAAATGTTCTGATAATCTACCTTACTTTCCAGATGCCCATTTTTGCACCACGTTGTCAGATCTGTTACCTCAGTCAGATTTTGTAGTACTATGTACACCGCTAACATCTGAAACGAGACACTTAATAGCAGCAAAGGAGCTGTCCCTAATGAAACCGACAGCAACATTGGTTAATATTGCACGTGGAGGAGTTGTTAATCACGATGACTTGACTGACGCATTGAAGAATGGAGTGATAAGAGCCGCAGCGCTTGACGTGACAGAACCAGAGCCTCTGCCGAGAGATCATCCATTGTTGAAAATGGCGAACGTTACTTTGACGCCACACTTTGGATCAGCAACTGCAAACACGAGAATGAACATGATGGAGCTGGTTGTGATGAATTTACGTTCTGGCTTAAATGGCGAGGAGTTACCTTTTGGGGTCAATTAATAAAAATAAGGTTTCTTGTAGCCTTTTAACTATATTCTCCGTAATTTTTGCGAAAATTAGAACGCACAAAAGTTAAAATCGCGAAATTTAGTACAACATTATAATGTAAAACAGTCAAAGATTTATACGGTAGAACCTGACTCGAACTCGGACAACTCGAATTCCCCGCTAACTCGAACTAAATTTTCTTTCCCTTAATCAAAATTTCACTAAAATTTACCCCGATAACTCGAATTCCCCGTTAACTCAATCTGTTTTTCGTCTCCCTTCAGCGTTCGACCTGGGTTCTACTGTAGTACCTCTAAGTCGCAGAAAAAATAACATTTTTGTTCGCTACGAATCTCGGTATAGTTTTCTTCCCCTGTTGAATTTCAAAAAAATCTTTTTGAGCAACATAAATTTTCTCAGTTCTTTGTTAAGCAAATCTGTGTAATTAAAAAATCGAAGAAAATCTGACTGTGATTACTTGAGGACTAATAAAGATGATTCTTCAAAAAAGTCTTTTCTTCTTTACTGTCACTAATGGCGGACAGTTTTAAGACTGCGTTTTGGAAATCATTCCGGGTTGAGCAAGTGAAGGCCTCGAAAATAGTTTAATGTTAGGGGCTGTTTACCAGTGTAAAAAATTGGGAGACCGAGACGAAGGGTTTCCTTGGCGACTCAATAAGTAACCTATTAAACTTTGGAAACAAATCTCCGAACAGTCAAACGCCAGTGAAACGCGATGAGGGAAACTTGTCGTTTATTGTTTAGCCTTTTGACTGTTTAGTTTTATATCACAGACAAGGTTTTAGCCAGAAGGCTGTCCAGCCGTCCTATGGACGGCCATTTTTGGAAGAAATACAAGGAAAATTTACTTAATCTCTTATAATTTTATGGGAAAACATGCCTTCTAGACGGCCAGTTTTCAATGTCTGGCTAAAAGCCTGATCACAGAAGATGTGAAAATATGGGAGGGATTTACAAAGCTTATGTCCTTTTTTTAAAAACTTCTTAACAGCAGCGTTAACATGCGAGCAAGCACGTGGGAAGTGTGCTAGGAATGGGCGAGGGGATTGTGAAGGGTCGAGAGCGAAGCCCTTTCCGGTCCCTCCCTTGAACAGAGCTCACTCAGGCTACAACTCAATGCCGATATTATTTTTCCTCCCAAGACCAAATACAGGTACCCTCCCTTTACTCCTTATAACTACAGAAGCTTCGTTGCAATTGGCTAAGAAGGAAAGAGCATTAGCACCTAATTTACTGCGCTTTTCACAAACATGCGAATTCTGAAGTTCAAAAGCCAACTGACGATTGCGTTTTTCGCTGCCGTCAATCATCTTAACGGACCTCTTGGGAAACGAAACTTTACTTTAACGGGTTCAAAAGGTCAAGGTTTGTGATTTGTGACTGGTGGATTTGATCCGTTTTGTGTGTTTCTGTGTTTTAAGGTTCGTTGCTTGCCAGCCAACGAAAAGGGTTTTTTCACCGTTTAACGGGTTCAAAAATAGGTTTTTTGCAAGGTTTTTTTAGAAGTGATTTTGCCTGACTGGTGGATTTGATCCGTTTTGTGTGTTTCTGTGTTTTAAGGTTCGTTGCTTGTGATCGTAATTATGATTGACGGCAGGGAAAAACGCAATTGTGAAGGCGGCTTTCAGAACTTTAGAGTTCGCATGTTTGTGAAAAGCGCAGTAAAGGTTGACTCAAAGACGCCATCGTCTTTCTCATTACCCTTTGTCGATCTTTGTACAGTTAAGAGATAAATCTTGGGACAAACAAAGTTTAATAGGTTCCAAAATAACAATTTAAAGGACATTGAGTAATACTTTTATATTAATGTGCCACTGCCAATAGATTTAAGCTAATCAAAAACCCATGCCCTACAGTACAAATGCGATTAATAATACCAAAACTTATACGAAGTCCCAATGATATTGGCCTGGAACGATGTTCAAAGCTGTTTTGTCGAACATGAAAAATCATCTACAAAACATGATTATAGTCAGTGATTTTCTGAGATCCTACATGTTAACTGTCTTGCTAGAAAAATGTACGTACATACAGATAAAGGATACCTTACACATTATTTTTCAAACTAATGACATTGATATTTGTCGTAGACCTTATACTTAAGATCGATTTTGTTCGGTAATTTCCGCAAACCGCCAACGTCAAGAAGTCACGTAACTAGTGCCTTGCCGTCAGGTTTGCGGTTTGTAGTTCACGTTTGTACGGGTAGACCATGCTCTAGAGGTAAGTGATTTACCGCAAGAATGAAACCAAACATGGCAGCCGCGAGCTACCACTCGCGAAAGTCCCACACGTAGGCAGAAAGGTAACGTGAAACCGCAAACCAAAAACCGCGGTTTGCCGTTGACAGTAAGATGGCCAAACCTCAATCTTCAACAATCTAATACATGTATAAAGCATTAGCGATGCAGTTTCTATCCTTGCAGTAATGAAAGCTGCTCGACCTTCAAGGCTCTAATCGAGTTTATTTTGTCTGGAGTACATTGAGAAAACTAAATATTACATCTTTCCTGTAATCACATAAAGTCTTTCATTAGCATGAAATATTCGTTGGTGTTTCCCTACCGTAGTAGAGGTCTCTCACGGCAAGGGAAGAAGGAGAGGAAAAAAAAAACGCATAGGCGGCTGGCAGAGGTCTCTATCTTTTCTATAATTTTTGGGGTCATGTAGTCACCAATGGTGCGTTTCCCTGACCCCAAACAAAACTAAAACAATTGGATCGAGAATGACATGCTATTGTTTCCTGCGACCAATTAGGAGAGACCTTACGAGCTGCTCCTACGCCAGCCTTTGTCGTGCCGTGAGAGACCGCTGCTAGCAGGGAACTTTTGTGTTACTATAGCTGGAATATGAATACGAAAGTGTAGAGTTTAAGATATACGTTACGCTTATAAAATGAAAAATGCTCACAGTTCCTTTTTACCCGTTAATCAAGATCGGTAGTTTAAGAACACTGGTGGAAAACTGGATAAACAAGGTCCGACACACTCCCTACAGAGCCAAGAATGAGGATCAATTTTTTCGTGGAGCCGAGTATATAAAGAGTATAATTATTTACTATTTACCCACGTTGCTGATTGGAATAGAACATCAAAGTTATTTCTCATCTTTTATGCCAGCCCTGCACCATTTTTTTGTTTTATAACATATGCGAGCAGTCTCTTATTTCTCGTTCCACTGCCGAGTGAGCCAGTGAGTTAGTGGTCTGCATACTTTGCGAGACGCGAGAAGCGATGGTGGCTTAAACACGCGACCTTTTTCATCCTTCGTGCATGTTTGTCACGATGGACTAATAACAAAAGTTAAGAGATTGCTCGTACTCTACTGTTCTATATACTTTCTACGGTATTAGATCCCGGATAATAACCTACCCGCCTTACCTTGAGAAAGCATGCGCAATGATTTCTATGCGCTCATCTCAATGGTTCGAGTTTAATTCGATTGCTCCATAATCACTGGTTAGGATACCTCTTGTTATGGTATCAGGGTCATAGCTAGCAAACATCACAATGTGTACTCCCATTAGCAGAGCAAATGAAGACAAGATGTGCCAAAGGTCGTGGTAGTCATAGAAATCAATAATAATACATTTGTGATTTTTATTACGAGATATCTCTGGAGTTTCTGCTTTATCTGTTGTCGGAAAGCCAATGAAAAATGCCAAGGCGGAAAATCCTAAGGCAAGGGTTGTTAATACATGAATAATAACGCAAGGAAATTTTTTATAACCAAGGTCACGCCACAAACAACAGCATTTACGGAGTTTCCAGGAAATAACAATTACGCTCTCTAAAATGCAGGTGAACAAAAGCGCGTGTGGAAGGCTACCGATATACTTCGTAACGCTAAACAGACAAAACATCAAGACTGCGACGATAAGACCAATCATTAGACAAACAAATTTGCCCTCTTTCACATTTTGTGGAGAGTAATTGTTAGGGTTCCAAGAATGTGACCCTACACACTGAAGACGGCAATTTTTAACTACCCAACGCCACAAGATTAACAAGCACCAGTTTTCAAGATACAATTTATAGCCAACCCAGTTAAAGATAAAGAAAGCCCAAAGAGCAAGTGGTGTAGCCCAGGCCGCCGTTGGAATTAACCCTTCTTTGGAGTGATTCAGTGAACCGAGATAGTTTAAAATATAAAGTGGAACTATAAAACCAAGGTAGAAATTTGATGCTCCCACGTGACCTCCCCTCTCTCCAGCATGGTTTAACTGAATGCCATTATACATTACAACGACAATCAAGCCTGAAATAACAAACATAAATGCTAAATCGAACTGAAATGTCATCTTAGTCGGGCAGAGATGATAAAGCATTGAAAACAACCCCTCGAATAGCAATGCCCAGGAAAAAGCGTAACCTATTGAAAAGGAAATTCTCCTCTTATGCGCCTCAGTACTATTACATTCCGCATTTTCTGCTACAGGTGGTGGCTGAGTTTGTCTAATTTTTTTGCAGCGAGCCAGTAATTCTGACTCCATGTACCAAACAGACAACGCTAAAATAAAGGCATGCAGTATATAAGCGAAGTTGCTACTCATTAAATTGAACGGAATATCATTATATAATACCCTGTAACAAAAGTCGTTGTAGTAACAATGGTCTCTATCCCCTTCTTGAATCATCAAATACCAATCTGCATAAACAAACTGAAAAGCTCCCACCATCAAGACGGAACCGACAATGCATGTGATGTACGAATAAGTTTTATGTCCTCCTGCAAACCAGTAGGTACAGAGAACTTTACACATGGCTCTGCAGACGTCTTTACGGGTCACTGGTTCAATGTGAGAAGCCAATGGACTGACGTGTGGTTCTTTAAAACAGTACAGAGCCCAGACAGCTACAATGCCACCGAAGAAAAAGGGTACCAAGCATATGAATGACATGGGCCCCCCATACGAGTAATTAAATGATCTTGTCACCGTTAATGTTCCAGTTTTACTAGCATTTAATGGCGTGGTACCTGCAACGTTGTTCAGTGCAAGGCCAATGTACCAGCTGGCTGTGGAGTCGGTCAAAGGGGGAGTAGATGCCGTGGATAAAGTGATACGTCCTTTCTTTGCAAACGAAAGACGAATGGACTCGCCTCTATAGTCCACAACTCGTATGTTGTCCTTATTAACGTCCTGACAGATCCGTGAAACTTTCAAGTAAGCGGGGACATCCGATTCTGACGTAACCGTTATATCAAGCTGAGTCTCTGAGATGTCCTTAGGTGGGGTAAACTGGAATACATTTACAGTATTCCACTCGAATATGCTGAAAGGTTTTTCTTCATTGAGCTCTATTTCATAGTCTTGAGATGCTTCTACCGTGAAACGTACCCCTGGTGTTCCTGAAAACGTAAGGTGTTTTTTTACGAAGTCGTTGCTTGAACGAGAAGGACATAACGGCAGCCCTGTCCACCGCTCGCTAATTGCAGATTTTGGAATGTCCAGGTGACCCTGTAGGAAGGACTCGTCTTCATCAAGTACTGATAGGTGAAGAGACCCTGTCAACAGGGAATCACAGTAATTTATGGTAACTATTGAGGAACTATGCAACCCTTCGTACAGACAAAGTTAAAGGCGAAAACAATATACACTTAATGACTGATCAGGAGGGGAAAAGAATCTGAATGTTTTCCGAGGCGGAGACGAGGTAACCTTAGCCTGTTCCAGGCGTTCAGATAGTAGAGCGCCGCGGTCAGTGGGGAGCGAGTTAAATTGTTTTTTCCTTCGTGAATTATTCTCCCGCGCTCTACTATCTGAACGCCTAACACTGTTACCCTCTGACGTCGTAGATTTTGCAATGTTGCCTGGCAGTGCCCGCTCAGAGATTTTGGCCGGATACAGTTCTATTGTTAGATGTCATGTGACCTTGAAGTAACCAATCAGATAGCGCGCGCTGTTGGGAAAACATTTGCAGCTGTATCAAACGAGTGTTACCTGTCCGTGTGAAATCAGTTTTTGTTCAGTTTATTCAAACCAATTGTGACCGAATGATTTAACGTAGGTGTTTCTATTGGACAGTTACTCCAGCATAGTTACTATGATATTTTGTGTTGGGCGGTCAAGGTCGAAAATCAAACAAAAACATACAAGGCAGAATAAACTGTCGGTCTTTTGATAACCATTGCACTTTACTTATTAAAGTAAATAGTTTTTGTGGTTGGTAATGCGGGGTACCCTTATAAAGGCAAATAGTACTCTTACATAATTCATAATTAATTTATGTAGGCCAACACTGGGTTTTCGAATTGTGAGTCTTACAAATCCGAGGTCAGGTTTTTAGTAACTTCAGTCCGTGTCTCATTCTCTGCTACGCAGCGGTATTTCGTGATATCGTCTATCGGTCGTTAATTTTCGGGGACTGAGGATGGATAATGGAAATACAAAAATGGAAATTTGCGAGTTGTAATGATGGAATGATGACCTTTAGGGGGTGTGGAATTATGGAAAAAGGGAAGTCGGAATAATTTTACGAAAAAGATAATGCCCCTTTTAGGGGTTGAATAATCGAATAACGAAGCTTTTCGAGAGGGAATACTGAGTGGAATAAGTGCAATGAATAGCCCATTATTCCTCTTCACACCCCGAACATTTACACGATATGAATTTAGGCAAAATTTTAGCTTGTCATTAGAAACGCAAAAGGCAAAATCTAGGAAATATTATTACTAATGGACTAAGCTTGAAGTGATCAAGCAGGTAGCATCGTCGTAAGGCCTTCTACACAATTAGAAACAAATCAAAGATGCAAACGTACACTGTTATGGTCGTGAAGGCGCGAAACATCCGTCGCAAATGGTGATTAAATTGACCAAATTACTGCCTCAATTGCTAGTACCTTAAGACTTTACATTTAGCTTACCTTCTTTTGAATCTTTGTTTCTTTTACCTCTCAAATATAAAATACTGTTTGTGTTGTCTGTCTTTACGGTACAGGAGTAGACTAGGTTTGTTGATGAAGGAAGCTGAGAAGTTAACTGCATCAGCGAAGTCTTGTTTCCATTTTTTCGTGATGTTTTTAACTCCACAAAGGTGCAGTCATCGTTGTAAAGTTTCGCTTGAGCCATAGATGGCCTTTCAAACCTTAAAGATATCACAAAAAGGAGGGCTGCAACGCAAAAAAACATCCTGAACATGTAGCTTCATAAAAGGCAGACCAAAAGGTAGACACTCTCTAATTCCAGCTGGGAAAAGGCAACGTTGCACTCAGTATAAGACTTCCTCGGTTTCTTGGAAAAAGTAATTTCAGTTATAAGTGAAATGCTGTTTATCAATTTTGACCTCACTAGCTTACAAATGTCGGTAGGTATTTGACGTAATCACTCAGCTTTATTAATGAACTGTCTACTGTTGTACCTCGAAGTGTCCAACAGAGACATGGTCAGTATATCTCTGTTTACAGACGTTCTTTGTCTCCATGTTCTTGTTTGTTTTGCTTGTCTCTGGAGCTTTCGTTCTTTCTCAAAATGTTTACATTAGCCCATTTTACAGTTACAGGTAAAAGTGAGAAAAGAGTTGACCATGTTTTGATACAACCCTTCCTGCTTTATTATATAAATTATGTTGTTCTTATGTAAACTAGAACAGAGAAACCTCTATTAAGCGGACACCTTCGGGACCTTCCCAAGGGCCCGCTTAATAGAGGTTGTAAAAGTTGCGCAGTGTTTGTTAATGATTAACATTCAACGGTTACTCTGTACTGTGGTAAAGTTCCATGTTGTTAAGGAAGCTAAGGAAGCTGTGCTGCACTTTGTGCAAGACTTTTAGGTGAACTTTTGAAAGCTAAATGTATTGATTTATCTTTATTAATCGACTACAGTACGTATTTCATGGACGTAATGCAATGGTACTATTGTCAATTCAGTCCGGTTTCCGGTTAATAGAGGTTTTTGACAATGGAAATTAGCCAAATACAATTTATTTTAGTGTACCCGTCACGCTTAATAGAGGTGTCCGGTGAATAGGGGTTCGTTATAAAGGAAAATATTTAACAGTTAATGAATGAGGCTGAGTATCTTAAGAAGAATTATGGAGATCGACGAGGGTGTTATCCGTGGTGGCCGTAGGCCGAGGCGGATAACACCCTCCGATATCTCCATAATTCTTCATATGATACGAAAGCCGAATTCAATAATTGTTTTATTGTTCATTCAAAATAATTCCTAGGTTTAAAACATGGCTAAAACATGCTTACCTCCATCGATCCATCGATGTTCAGTTCATCTTCGATAGTGTACGTTTAGGTTTGTCCACCTCCGCATATATTCTCCAAATAGCAGATGTCGCCCTCCGAGTTGTCTTCTTGCTGTTTTTGCTATGTTTTTAACAATTACTTCGCCTAGTTCCAGCTGTAGTTCTTACACTTGAAACGAGTGAAGCGTCGGCCATTTTTGTTTTCACAACGAAAACAACTCAACCTCGTCCCCAGGTCTTCTCGGTTAACGGTTCATTAACCTGTAGAAGGCTGCATTTTTTACGTCATTTCCTCGTTAAACTCAAAATTCTTCCAAATTTGGTCATCAGTAACTGGTTATGGTGAATTATGCGTGTGCTTTTAGCCAATCAGAATTGGGGAAATATTTTGAATGAATAATAAAAGACGTTAATTTCAGGACCCGGCTTAGTGTCCGCTTAATAGAGGGTGTTCGCTTAATTGGGGGTCCGCTTAATAGAGGTTTCACTGTTTCTTTTTTTCAACATAATTAACATAAGAAAAGAAAGGAGGACTGTATGGAAACAAGAGAGAATTGTGGGACAGAGAGAAAATCGTGGGGCGTTGGCCGGTATAAGTGAATAGAGAGCTTTAGATTCTAAGACGAGTACGACTACGAGTACGAGATTTTCTCAATACTAAGTATTGCTCACGCGTGAGCCAGCGTTATTTTGACGGGAAAACGTGGTAGCCGTCGTCATTCTACTACGAGTTTTCGCGCGAATGTCGTGGTGACGAAAACAAGATATCAAATGTTAGAAGTTTTATCATTTTGCGATCGGGAGAGCGCGTAACCTCTCTCACTAAAGATCCACAGTGCTAACTTTTCTAAAGAAAAATGGTAAAATGAAGCTTTCTGGGAAGTCTATATTTTGAGAAGACGCGAAAATCTCGTACTCGTGGTCGTCCTCGTCCTCGAATCTAAAGGTCTCCTCTTTCCGTCAGGTTATTTTTACAATAAAGGTTGTAATTAAACGGAAGTCTAATCCCTGGAACGTCCGCACATTTCAATCGATTTTTTGAAATGTCATCAAGTCCACGCGCGACTGCCTTAGGTGATGTTACGCGGGACGATTCGCAACGACGATTTTTAGCGCAATACAGTGTTACAACATTGTTGCGACATTGATTCAAATGGTAGCAACATTGTTCCAACATTGCAACGCTGTGTTGCGCAAAAAATCGTCGTTGCGAATCGTCCCATGTAACATCACCTTTAAAGCAAACAATGCAGATTATTGAAAAGGTGACACGCCAAGAGAGCATAATGTTCCGTTATTTGCTCATGACAACATACACTGTATAAAAGTTTTCTCCTGAAACCAACTTCGGATTATGCAAGTGGCTTACCATCAGTTATTAGCTAAGAAAGACCAAATATGTATCAATTAACATTATTACAGAGATTTCTTTCTCACTTTATCGCAGAAACAATTATATTTCGCAAGTATAGAACAACAGCATTTTCAAGGGAAATATTCTTTCCAGATGGTACCCAACCAAGATGAAAAATCACGGAAATTCCAACGGGTAGTGGGTTATGACAAGCACCCCCTAGAATTGGAAGGGGTTTGAAGCAAAAGTGTCCGTGTTGAGGGTAGAAACATTTTCTGGAACAACAGATTTCTATGGACCATGACTTCGCAACTCGGTTAATAAAGACCCAAGAAAAAGAACTTTGGCAATTTGAAGTCATCTTGATCTCATGCTTGGTCAATAACGCGCACGTGTTACTGGTCTCGCAAGCCCGAATCTTTCTTGCAATCGTTCTACAGATAATGTCGCTTTGAATCCTGCTATTAAAAATGAGTCCATGCAAGGTAACACATTTCAATAGCCTGGATTTAATTTCATTCCATTTAATTACGGCCTTTATGCAAGTTTTCGTCAGACGAGAAAACTACACCACCGAGGTCCTGTTTTTAGACTGTAAATTTGCGAACTTTTACACAAGTAAGTTCCCAGTGCAGATAAAGATATTATACAGTTAAATATAACAGATATATCAGAAAGACAACACTAAAGAGCAAAACAAAGTTAAAATGGTTTAAAAAAGAGCTTAAAAAACTATACGAACATCCTCTTAAAGGACGCAAGTACAAATAACATAAACTTTTTCGATGTCCAACTACTGAACACAGAGCTAAAAATGTTCAACATTCGAGCCGACAAACTCTTTTGTTCTATGACTAAATCTTGTTTAATGCACGGTAATCATGAAGCCAGACTGAGGCCTGTCAGACTTCTGTGTCTCATATATATGTTTTTGTTCGCATTTTTTGGACTTGACTGTTCAAAACCTTCAATACCATTCCTATTATTTTGAACTTACTGACCAGTAGAAACGTCGCCTTGATTTATTTAGTCACAATTTGAGAACAAAAAACAAAGGATTGTGCCTTGTGAGACTCGTTGAGGGAGCAGGGCAGATTCTCTGTTCACCTTTCGTACAGCATTTAGCGTTGTCGAGCAGGCTTTGGAAAGGAGGGCAAGGAGTTATCTATGGTCAATAAGACAGTTTGATTTTATAATTTGCCTCTGTGCAACAGGGCATGTTTAGTCTCATACAAACTATACAGTTGCCCTGTCATGAACATGCTCAGCGCAAAAACCTAGACCTGATTGAAGCAGCAAACGAATCTCGGGTTGTGATCAATGTACTCCAAGAGGAGCGGGATGACGACATTGTGTGGGACCCCCGTGTGGGACGAGCTGTTTGACAGCCAAGGAAATGACAGCGGAGTGGAACATAATGATCCGAGAATAACGCGCCCGATCGCGTGACAGCAAATCAGCACATCCAAACAGTACTGGCGAAGAGCACTGTACTTACTTCTAGTAGATCACGACTTGATACAAGAGCTGAAAGGCTGCTGAAACAGCATGATCGATTCCTCGGGCAGTATCTCATCTTCTAAAGTTACCAGATTTGGTATAACACTATAAACTGTGCAGTGTGGTATCGAGCTTTTGCAAGTCAGTATCCTTTCGATGAAGCAAATACTTCCAATTTAGTATTTATATGATGGATTACTGTTCGTCTTTGACAGGTTTCTTCACCTATCAGTCTCTAAGGCAGAGGCAACACCTTCCTTCAGAATCTTCACTTGGCGAGCAGTGGAGAAGTATGTCGTTCTGTCCTTCTCATTCAGGAGATGAATCGATGGAAAAACGCCTCACGCTGTCGGAAACACCCGGAGTGGGTTTTTGCAGTAGAAGCATCTCAAAACAATGGAATAAGCCTCAATGATCCTAAAGAGTTCGAAATAAATGAACGGAATACAAGTGTGTTTCAGTTTATCCCTCCTAAAGACATCTCAAAGACGCAGCTTGATATAACGGTCACTTCCGGCTCGGATGCGCTCTCTTACTTGAAAGTGTCACGGATCTGTCAGGACATTAAGGACAACATTAGACTTATGCATATGGATTATAGAGGGGAGTCTATTCGTCTTACTTTTGCGAGAAAAGGACGTTTCACGTTATCCAAGGCATCTATTCCTTCTCTGGCCGACTCAGCAAGCTGGTACATTGGTATTTCCCTAAATAACACTACAGGTACAAAGCCGTTGAATGCAAATACTGGCACATTAACTTTGACAAAATCGTATGCAGGGACCATATTATTTATATGGTTGTAATTACCCTTTTTCTGTGGTGGTATTGCAGTTGTCTGGGCTTTGATTCGTTTCAAAGAGCCTCATTTTAATCTATTTCAATCTTCTAACAGTCCAGTAACTTGGGGCGAAGTCTGCCCAGCCATTGCGGACGTCACCAGGAATCACTGGTTTGCAGGAGGGCCCAAAACGTTCTCGTACATCACATGCATTGTCGGTTGCGTCTTGTTGATGGGAGCTTTCCAGTTCGTCTATGCAGATTAGCATTTGATGATTCAAGATAGCGATAGAGTCAGAATAGAGACCA